AAAAGAAGAAAGAAATAGTAAAAACAAAAAAAGAAAAAAGAAAAGCAGGTGTTTGGCTGTTGTAAATAGAGGGGAAAAAAGCAAACAGAATTTGAAAAAAAAAATCAAGGGAAAGACTGAAAAATGGTGTAAGAACGAGAAGCCTTTTCCTTCTTTCTTTCTTTTTTCTTTTTCCTCAAAACCTTGAGAGCTTCACTTGGAATCTTTAAGTCAGACTGTCTCCTCTTCATATCTTCAAGTGACCTCTTAACAACTCCACCTCAGTGAAACCCAGTCTACACCATTTCCCTCAGATTCCCTCTCAGTCATTTGGAAAATGGTTGAGCAAATTAGAGTTGAACTATGTTGTGGAGTAATAAGAAGTTGTTAAACAAAACAAGACAGATCAATAAGCACTCACATGGCAAAACTGCATGTGCTGTGAACCCTTGTGTGCACACATACAACTCCGGGTGTATGTGTGTCCAAATGTATAGAAGAGTAGACAATCTCACACCAAAAGGTTCATGAGCAGGACATAGACAAGACTTTCAATTTTCATTCTGCAGGATTCTGTACTTGTTTGTGTGTCAATTGCCTAGTACTTGTACTTTAAAAATCAGTAAACCAGTTAACTTACCCTGAAAAGAAATTTTCTTTGTACTAAGGCACAATGTCACCAAGTAGGTTTTTTTTTTTTTAACTGCAGATATAGCCATGTCACTTGTCAAATTATCAAATTGCTTCTATACTACCTGGTAAATAACATACAATTGTCCTTTAGAATCCACAGAGGATTAGTTCCAGGAGCCCTGCAGATACCAAAATCCTAGAATGTTCAAGTCCCTGATATAAAATGGTGTGGTGTTTGCATAGAGCCTAACTCATTCTTTCTTATTTTGAGTCATCTCTAAATTACTCATAATACCTAAAGCAAAGTAAATACTATGTACATAGTTGTTAATCTATAGTGGCTAGGGAATAATGATAAGGAACCTTCAGACAATAGAGGGCCTATTGTAATAGTAGTTATGATAAGAGGTAAGTAAAATAAAATAACTGTATAAATGCTACTATAAACTAAAATTTTGAGAGTTTCACAAGGGCAATTGATAAATGGGCCTCCAAGGACAGCTATATCTGGGAGTCTCCTACAACTCCACATACTAGTTCAGCAATGTACCAGAGGACAGACCAGATACACCATGGACTTCAGAGGAATCATCAGTCTATCACTATCTCAAATTATGTCATTTTTGTTTTTCAGTAATTATTAGTAATTACTTACAATTAATAAAAAATTGTGATTCTTGTGTGAGTCATAAGGGACCAGGGTTTATATCTATAAAACAAAATTGACAGCATCTGAAATTGCCCTATAACAATTCTGGCGATGAAGGGGGAAAAACTACCCACAAAATTCATTCAATAAACGTGTGTGGCAGGAGTTCAAAGAGCATGCTCACAGGTACTATGTTATGCTCAACAGGTGACATCCTTGCTGACTTCAGAAAGCAAAGAAAGATTCTATTTGTATCCCCACTGTGGACAGCTGACTTCTGGGCAATCAGGTGGTGGTGGAGAAGAAAGTCAGAAGCCTTGAAGAGAGACCTTGCCCTCATTTCTTCCAGCCTGACTCCTGGGAGTCCTCAGCAATAGGCTCAGGTTTGCTTGTTTTGCTTGGTCCTTATTTCCCTTTTATCCACGCACACTTCTCAACTCTCTAGAGCTCACATGGGCGATGTGAGGAGTGTGTTCTCTTCTCAGATCTATCAAATATTCACTGAATGACTCTGAAAGGACCACAAGGGAACAAAACTATGTAGAAAGTGGGAGGTCTTTGCCACCCCTTATGGTATGCTCAGAGGTAATGCTCTAATTTTTAGGACTTTAGTTTGGGTTCTGTCTCCAGTGAAACTAAAATGGCACTTGTGTGAGTTATAAGTGACCAGTGTTTACATTTACAAATTCAGGGATCTATAATAAAATATTACAAATAAACTCTCAGGAATAGAAAACAGAGTGTGTGCAATTTTTAATTTTTCTTTTAAATATAAACAATAATCTTCAGAATCTACAGTAGAAAAAAATAATAAGCGATAGCATAGAGTATTTCCTTATAGTGTAAAAAAATCAATACAGCCTAGAACATTTTTTATATCATTTAAGAATCAGTAATAATTTATATTTTAGAAATAAAGACAATTTCAGGAGCTAGAGATGCACTCGATTGTAGAACACCTGCCTAATATACATGTGTATTCATACACAGAAGAAGAAAAAAATTGATTTCAACAAAGGCAATGGCTTATTATTAAAAGAAACATAATCATTAAATAAAAATATGTTCAGGTCATTACATGTTGAAAATACATACATATATTTTATCAAAATAACAATTATTTTCAGTTAAAGCTCATGATCCAATAAAAGTAAATTTGTACTCATCAATAAGGAAAGACTTCGAAGTTCACCATAAAATAAGTTTTATGTAATCCATCATTTGAAGTAATAAAATTCTAAAATTTTACCAAAAGATATTTATAAACAATTTTTTAATTCATAAAATATGATAAGAATTGTTAACATTATCTTGTGTATGGTTTTATTTTTATTTATTTATTTTTTAACAGGATTTTCCATCTGGTAAACTTATTGTCATATCCCCTTCAGGCTGCCACTGAAAGAAAAATTTTATATAGTAACTGTATATCTTGGTTGAGAAACTGTCCTACATGAAAAACATACTTAGAAATCATGTGAATAAAGAAAAAGAAAACATGGTTCAATCTCCCATGAAAGACAATTCGGAAATATCTATTAAAATTACAAATGTACTTACCCTTTTGATCCAGCAAATCCAGGTCAGAGACATTATCCTATAGAGGGATCTGCATATGTATAAGATTATATATATACATACATACATACACACACACACACACACACACACACACAAGGCTAGTGATTACAATATTAATTGGTATTATTTAACACTTAAATGTCAATAGAATTTACCAGTGAAGCCATCTGGACCTGGAATTTTCTCTATGAGAAAGATTTTTTGTTATACATTCAATGATTTCCCTTCTTTCATTTCTTTTTTAAATTTTTCTTAGTTGTCAATGGATATTTATTTACTTATTTATTTATTTATATGCAGTGCTGAGAATAAGTGCTCACCACTAAGCTACAACCCCTGCCTTCCCCAATTTCATTTCTGTTCCCATTGATTTCATTTCTCTCTCTCTCTCTCTCTCTCTCTCTCTCTCTCTCTCCTCTCTCTCTCTTTTTGGTACTGAGGATTAAACCCAGGAGTACTTAACCACTGAGCCACATCCCCAGCCCTTTTTTAAAATATTTTATTAGAGACAGGATCTTGCTGAGTTGCTAAGTGCCTCACTAAATTGCTGAAACTGGCTTTGAACTTGCTATCCTCCTGCCTCAGCCTCCTGAGCTGCTGGAGTTATAGGCATAGACCATCTTGGCCAGTCAACACATCTTTCTTTTTTTATTGATTGATCTTGCTAGGAATGCTAAAGATTGAATTGGTGCGGTGGTATTTGGAAATGGAGATTGTGAGAGAGAATCAGGTATAAATGAGGTCACGGGTGAATGAAGTCCCATGATGGGATTAGTGCCTTCGTAAGAGTTTGATCTCCTCTCTGTTTGCTCTGTGAGGACACTACAAGGAGCCTACTTTCTGGAAAAGGAAAGCAAGGAAAAGGTCCCTCATCAGAACCTGATCACTCTGGAATCCTTCTGATCTGGACTTCCAGTCTCCAGAACTGAGAAAATAAATTGATGATATTTAATCTGCTCGGACTGTAGTATTTGTTATGGCAGCCAGATCAAACTAACACAAGGAGTGTATTGATCTTATTAATATTTTCAGAGAACTAAACTTTGACTTAGTTCGGTTTTCTCTATTATTTATTCTCTAGTTTACTGGGCTTTTTGTCTTTGTTATTTCCTAGAAAGGAACACTTACATTGTCTTTCATTTGTTCCTCATTTAAAACTCTTAAGGTGGAAATGTAGTAATCAATTTTAAGCGTTTCTCCTTTTTAAAAGCTATGTATTCAAAGCAAAAAAATTTTCCTCTAGCACTGCTTCAGAGGCATCCAAAATTCTTGATATTTGTGTTTTTATTTCCATTCATTTAAAATCCTGTGGAGCTAGGGATGTGTCTCAGTGGTAGCATGCTTGCCTAGCACACACGCATGCACAAGGCCCCGGGTTCAACCCCCAGCCAAAATAAATTGCACACATAAATAAAAGTAAAATATTTAAATTTGTGATTTATTCTTTCACCCATGTGTTATTGTTACTTAATTTCTAAATATTTGGCAATTTCTAGATATATAAATATCGATTTAGTTCTGCAAACTCAGTGTTATTTCTATTCTTTGGAATTTATTGAGTCTTGCTTCACGGTTCATGACATTTTTTTCTCATATGTACTTAAAAAGCCTGTGTATTATGCAGTGACTGCACATAGTATTCTGTAAATGTAAGTGAGGTCAGGTTAATTGATAATATTGTTTAAATATTCTATACCCTTAATAATTATTGTGAATTCTATCAATTACCCAATTATTCTAACTATGAATATGGGTCTGCCATTTCTCCCTTTGGTGCCTTCAATTTTGCCTCATGTATTTTGGTACTCTGTTAGTTAGTGGATACCCATTTAGGATTGATGTCTTCTTAAGGAAAAGGCCCTTTTACCATTTAAAACATCTATTTAAATTCTCATTATCTTAATTTGAATTACGTTTTGTGTGGCACAATCACTGCTGCCTCGTTATGATTTGTTTGTACTATATATGGTTTATTTTAGTCTATGTGTCTATTTCTATTAACTATTTTTCCCTCCTGATAATAGGTCTCTTTTTCCTGTTTCTTCACATGACTTGTAATTTTTTTTTTACTGAATGCTGGACATGGCACATAAAAGAATTTCCAATGGTGTTTTGCTTTTGTTTTTGTTTTGTTTTCCAGTGAATGCAAGTTCTTCTCTTTGCCAGGTGGTTGGAATTAGAATCTGGTCATTCAGATTTATTTATTTGTTTGTTTATTTGTTTTTTTTTTTTTTTACTGGGGAATTGAACCGGGGTACATTATCCCCAGTGCTTTTTACTTTCTATTTTGAGACAAGGTCTCACTAAGTTGGTTAGGGTCTCACTGAATTGCTGAGGCTGGCTTCAAAATTGTTATCCTCCTGCCTCGAGCTGTGGAGCTGCTGGGATTACTGGTGTATACCACCACATGCAGATTTCAAGAGTAAAGTTGAGCTGAGACTAATTTGAAGTGTTAATTAAATTGGATGCATCTCTGATACTTAATGGAAACAAGGACATTTCAACTAACTTCACTATACATACCTTTCTATAACTTCACGGTGGAATGGCTTGCCTCTTTGATCTTGTCTGTATTTGAGTAAGAAGAAGGCTGAGAAATATATTTCACATTACTTTGGCTCTTCTTTCATTCAATTCTAGCATAGTTCCGAAATTCAAGAACTTGAAATTATCTAGTTCTCCTTTCCCTGCCACGGCCATTTTTGCAGTAAAATTGGGAGACAGTGATTGTTGAGTTAAACAATTTATTTTTGTATTTGGGTCAAATATTTCTTGTCAGTTTTTGTTGGTATGACAAATGCAAATTTAAAATGAGAAAAAGTTTATTTTGGCTTGATTTCAAAGATTTCAGTCCGTGGTTGGCTGGCTCTGTTGGCTTTGGGTCTGTGGTGATGCAGAACATCATGGGGAGTGAGTGGTAGAGTAAAGCTTTCAGCTGATAGTAGCCAAGAAGCAGAGAGAGAGAAGGCCAGGGTTCCAATATCCCCTTCAAGTGTACATCTCTCATGACCTAAATCACCTCCACCAAGCCCAACCTCCTAACCCAGCAGCTGCGGATCAAAAGGTCAACATATGAGCTTCTGGGGAACACTTAAGATTCAAACCATAACAGGTCACTTCCAAATGCCAAACAATATGGCCACTCACACTGTTATTAAAGTCTCGACTGATTTTTCCCTAAGTCTACCATCTGTTCATTTACAGAGACCTGCTTCTCTACCTTCCCACACATATAGAGTACTTCCCCCAGATATGGAAACAGCTGTGTCCAGCTCACCATCACTCCCTGTAATTCAGTTCTTCAAAGCTTACTCAGTTAAATGTGCTTTGGAATTGCCATAGAAAAGTATGATTTTCATATCATCAGGTTTTTATTATTTTTACCAAGGGAATAATAGTATTCTGCATTCTATATCCTATGGGAAGCAGAAGCTATGTAAACAATAGCAAAAGAATGAAAACCATCCAAATATCAATCAATTATGGATTTTTCATTGTTATTATATAGTCAGATCAAGGAAAACATGTAAAAGAATGAGGAAAGTTTTTGTTTACTTACATAAAAATATCCCCATCATAAATCAAATAAGAAAAGCAAAGTTTATTTTAAGTTTCATGCAAAAGGAAGAAAAAAAGTAATGAATATTTATATAGATTCAAAACATGTATAGGTTTGTACCACATTCCTACATATCAAATGAACATTCCTCCATTTATAATAGGGTTACATCCCATGGGCATACCATGATAACTTGACAATGTCATAAATCAAAAATATATCTAATGTACCAAACATCATAGTTTAGCAACACAGCACACAATAAAGTGTCATTTGTTCCCCCTGTGATGTCTGGGCTGACTGGGGGGCTAACTAGAAGCTGCAGTTCACTGCCACCTGCCCAGAATCATGAGAAAAGATCATACCACACATCACTAGCCCAGGAAAAGACCCAAATGAAGAATTTAAAGCCTGATTTCTACTGAATTCATTTTGCTTTCACTCCATCAAGTCAAAAATTTGTAGGTTAAATCATCGCAAGTCAAAAATCATCTGGATGTAAAAATTCTGAAAGGACAAAAACAAAATTAGTAAAAGTTGCCCAGGCAGGCCTTGAACTTACTATTGTTGTTTTGTTTTGCTTTGTTGGGGGAGGGGAGGCAGTAGTGCTGGGGATTGAACCCAGGGACTTACATATTCTATGCAAGTGATCTACCACTGAGCTACACCCTCAGTCCCCATTATGTATGTGGATTCTTAAGGCTCAATTTTCACTTGTATAAAATGAGATTTAAAACACTTTCTTCACAGAGTTCTGCAATAAATGAACATTTGACACACTTTGAAATATCAAATCGTGGATAAATAATTAACACAGACACCACTGTATTGGATTATACTCAGAGATTCCTTCATTTATGTGTATGTGCTTTTGTGTGTCAATTATATACTCTAAACTGAGTCACTCAATTATGTTACATCCACAACAGTCTATTGTTTTTCTTTGGTAAACTATAAGCAGGGATTGTGTCTTTTCAAAACCTATCAACCTAGTAGTCTACATACATGTTGTGCAGCATGTAAGAAAAAGTGAATGTTTCCCACTGTATAATGATTAAGAGGCTAATATCAAGATTTTGCAGATTTCCCAATACTATCTCTACCCACCGAAAGTGTATATATGGGAGCCCCATATCTTCAAAATAGTCTAATATTCTAAATTCCACACCACCACTGATTCATTTCAAAGCCAGTAAAGAGATGATAAAAAGCATTATGTTTATTGCCTCCTCTTTCCCAAAGCACAGTTATCTAAAGTATGCTTTTGACATAAAAATTCTCCATCTGGTTATTTACATACAATCCACTAAAATGGCTCATTCATGACAGTTGCTATTAGATACCAATGCACTATTTATATACCTTTTCAGACAAATTATTTTATTTAGTTTGTAAAACAACAATCAGATGCTGTTAGTGCTTCTCAGATCAGAAAGGGGAGCCCTGGTGCAAGAAGTATAATGATAAATTGTCTTTTCTCAACCTGCAAAAAAGTTCCTAAGCAGCCCATCCACCAACACATCTCATCAGGTAGGGGCTTGCTGCTGCACTTCAGCTTAGACAAGGAGGCCACTCTTGGGGCTCCCATGCCTCTCCCCTTCCTAATAACACAATTTCACCTGCAGCCCAAAGTAATATATCTGCCCTGAAAATAGAATAGAACAGAGGCTTTCCAAGAGTTTTCCTAACAGCAACCTACAGCAGGAAATGCACTGGATCCAGGACACATATAGCTAACAAACTTCTTATACAAAGCATTACTTACCCTTGCTTACAGCAAGATACTCTACCTGGTGTGGTAGTGGTCACCTATAATCCAAGCTACTCCAGAGGCTGAAATAGGAGGATTGCAAGTTCAGTGCTAGCCAGGGCAGCTAGCAACACTTTATCTTAATTTTTAAAAAATAAAATAAAAGGGCTGAGAATGTTGCTCAGTGGTAGAGCACCACTGGTGTTCAATTCCCAATAATTGTGTGGGGAGGACGCAGGTTTAGCAACACATTCTGGTACTTTATTTTCTATTCTATTTTACTTCATTTTTTCAAAGAAGGAAAAATTATTATACAGCCCATTAATGAGGTCAAAACCAGAAACTCTATAGACTATTATCCATGAAGCGTATGCACCAAACAGAGGTTCCTGGCAAGTCTTCCCAGTGCCATCTACTGTGAGCTCCAGGTATTGCAAACCCTCCCCACCCTCTCCCACCTGCCTACCCATCCCCACCCACCACCACCCCAGTCTTGGCACAGACTTTTTTTTTTTTTTTTTAAGAATTGAGATTAAATCAGAGAACACTTCTACCAAAGTGGAAATGGCTCTGAAACTAGCTTTTCATGAAAAGCTGCTGTAATCTATCAAATATAATATAACCTGTAATCAACAGTCCCTTGTCAAATGTATGACTATGTTTTTTCTATAGCAGTACATCTTGTGTTTTCTCTAACTTGTTCCAAAAACTATTCAAAATAATATAAATTACAATATTGCTGTGACATAAATTAGAATATAGAAATCTCCTTTTCTCCTCTGTGAATGATGCAATATTTCTGTGTTGACAAGCCACTGTATAACTTACAGAATTTAATTTTTATATTCTATAGAAGTATATTTTTCCTAGCAGTCAATCTAAGGAGTTATAGTTCTGCATTCATTTCTGACCAAAATGTGTTTTTGATGCAAATACATTTGGAAATATCTCTGTAATTTCTCCATGGTCTGCTTAAATAATCATAAAACAGCCCACATTCACCCAGCAAGACTAATGCAGCAATTTCAATTTACCCAGAATATTTTATGTGTGAAATAAGAATAGAATAAAAACAACAAAATGCTTATGACTATTTGTCACAACTTAAAAGTAGCAATTTTAAATGAGATGTCTTTAATTTGAAAGTAAAGAGAACAATTAAATTAGTGAAATCTGAAATCTTATTTTTTTTTTACCCTTTGAATGCAACAATTGATTTTTCACCCTAAATAATCTGACATTAACAATTTTCAGAAAACATAGTGAGGGTGTGATTCAATGATGCAGAGAGAAATTATTAGTGAAACAGTGTTCCCTATAATAATCACCTACAAAGATTAAAAAGGTTCACAGGAGAACCACTCCTGCATTGAAATTACATTATCATATGTAAGTTGTTATTAATTATCCAGGGATGCCAGAGGGCTCTTCAGTTTCCAACTGCTATTTTGGGAAAGGCTGAATTTTCTCTTTTTTTAACCAGTTATTAATATGATTAATATTTCATCATTAAAGTCAAGAAAAGAGGGTGTGGCCCTATAGCTAATGGATTCAACTTGCCCTAAAATTGCCAACTAGTAGGCAGGGGCTCCATGCTATTAAGTCTCTTCTCATATTGCAACATTTTCTGCCAACAGATGATTTGTGAGTCAGAAATGTAACTGATATATTTTTAATGTGCACTCAGAGCATCCTTCCTGAGGGAATTCAGAAGGTTGCACTAACAGGCAGCAAGCAAATAATCATTCATCAAAATGTCAAGAAATATGATTTATCTAGCACTGATTTCTTGCACAACAATCAGATCTTTCTACTGGATTTATTTTAAAACAACTGTCAAATTAAAATACAAATAGCTTTAAATGTTAGACTTTTCACCTTGTAATCTTACAAGTGCATCATTTGCAACATCTGCATAAAAGTTCAGTTCAATCATAATGGACCAGGATTTACCTACTTGGTACTAACATATGTAAAATTAGCATTCATTTCTCTTTGATGTGACAAGGTGTGGCTGTCACAGATCCTCACTGGTTAATCATCAATAGTTACTCCACAGGTCTCTGTTCTTCCCTGGCCATTGTCCATCCTATTAATTTCATTCAAAATCAAACTGGGAGATACCAGAGTTCTTTGCTTAAAGCCAAGCCCAAAACTATTCTGTGTCTGGTTAATCCCTACCAGTTAATGAGTTAAAGTTGAGTTGGTCAGCAGCAGGTATGTCCAGAGCTCTACTGATCTCACGAAGGAGTAGGAAGGATTCGGGTAGAGGAGAAGGGCTGACTGGTGCTGAGCTTCTCTAGGATTAAAGTGTCAAAAGATGAAAACAGGATGAGAAAATTATGGTTTATTTCCAATGCTTACATTTACCAAAGTAATACTTTTAATAGAAAAAAATGCAGCAGTATGACAGTCCTATTTACAAAATGACTACAGGATTTATTTTTTAAAATATTAATTTGTGGTGCAATCTGCTAATTGGGTACATATCTAAGTTCATTTGGAGATGATCTCAAATATCCAAACCTTTCCCTACTGTTTTTCATCTTACCTCTTCTCTTTTTTTCTCCCCTACTCTGGAACACACACATACACAAAATTCCCTGCCCTCGGAGAACTCCAAAGCTACTTAGGAAGAAAACACCAATACAAAGAAAAACAACAGAAATCAGGGAAAACAGAATAAAATCAAATGTTGAATTGTAACTGAAGACTTCAGAGCCGTAGGAGTTTTGACTATAAATTCCAAAATCTGGAGTGATAGTTAGCCAACAATACACAATCGTTATTCAAATTTAGAGAATCAAGTCAAGGAATACAAGGGAAAGAAGGCTGAACTTGTCATTGTGATATGGGCACTAAAGCCTAAGATGAAATTTTTCATTGAGGGAAAATCAATCTACAATCTCCAAACCATCTTTACCAGCCAACGTCCTACACTGGCTTTTTTTCATTCTAACCCAGCCAGGACTTCAATAGATTCCTAACAACACTGACCCTAAGAGACTAAAGGGAGAGCTCACCGGCCAGCTACTCCACCCCAAGACCTCTCAACCTTAAGGTGTGTTCAGGCCAGGAAGCTGCCTACACAGGACTGGCCTAATTTTTCACAAGCTGATTCAGCACATCTCTCCAGTGGCAGGGCTTTGGGCAGCTCCTGGGGCTTTGTCTCTTCATGAACAGACACTCCCTCTTAGACTAAGACTTAGAACTAGAAGGTGAGGTAGTAGCCACGGTACCCACGGTACTCACGTTCACCCATGCAAGAACGGCAGATGTCGGCTTATGGCCTACGGGGCTCCAGCTTTGCAAGGAAAAGTCAATACCTTCACGCAAACTATGGTAATCATGGGAAATCCATTTCTGCCTTGTCAGGATGAATCATCCTCACTTCAGGTAGAACTGACCTGAGAAAACCCTGCGTGAGAATGTGCAGCCTGCTCCTCTAAGAACTGGCTGCTCTGCAGGAATCATGAAGCAAGGAGTGGGAGGAGACTGGACAAACGTGGCCTACTCCTCACATTCATTTCTCATCTGACTTCCTGTCACTAGCATCTCAAGACATCAAAATGCCCAACCAAATACCCAACCCTAAGTCCTCACATTGAGGCATCAAGCTTCGCAGAGAAAGAACTAAAGTGTGCGGGACATGCTTCCCAGAAGCTTCTCCAGAAATCCTATCAGTACCCCTTCTAGCAGTATGTGCACTGGGAGGGAGGGATGGGATTGGTAGACTTCATTCTGTGCTCTTTCCTTTCTGAATAATCTGGGCAACTACCCCTCCACCCCCAGCAAAAAAAAAAAAAAAAAAAAAA